AAAACGATTTCTCGAGTTTTATAAAACGATTTCTCGAGTTTTATAAAATGATTTCTCGAGTTTTATAGAACGATCTTCGAGTTTTATAAAACAGTCTACGAGTTCTATAAATGACTTTGAGTTTTATAAAACTAGTCCTCGGGTTTTATAAAACTACTCTTTTGGTATTTTCGCGGGGAGTTTTGGCTATTAATTTCGTTGTACCGATTTTGACCTCAACACAATTCATTGCGCAGAATTTTCGCGAATTTTGCAACAAGTGGAGGATCCGTCAGATCATGTGTACTCCCCGGTACCCGCAAACCAATGGCCAAGACGAGTCCTTGAATAACACAATCATCGATGGGATCAAAAAGGCCTTATATGCCCAATAGAATAAACTGGGCTTAGTTCAGTACTTTTATCTAGCAAACTAAGCCCAATAGGAATTCCTTCTTCGTCTTCAATTTCACAAGCTTTGACGAGAGAATCGCCGTTCGCCGATATTCTTCTCCTACCAGGTATGTCTCCGCCTGATCTTTGTTTCTCATGCTTGGTGTAAGACTCTAGGGTTCTTAGCCTTGAGCTGGAAATTTTTCATTCAAGTTAAGATATTCGAATCTTGAATCTGATTCTTGTCTTTGCTTTTACATACCTTGCCCCATTAGACCGAGAGTCAACTTCTGATGCTAGCGTTTTATTACATAATTTGTTTGCTTTCGGTTTCTATGTTTCATTTAATGATCTCGAACCGATGTGATGTTAATATTGTACATCATCTGATTTTGAAGATATGATGTTGTTTCTTGATGTTAATTTAAATCTTTTTAGGTTGTTGTAATATGGGAGATTACACAATTCAGATCACTCCGAAGCTGATCAATCAGCTAGCTCAAGGCAACGAAAAACCTAAGAGAAAGGTAAAGAGAACCAAACCCAAAGTCTCACCACCACAGAACAATGCAGATCAAGCGCGAACACACCATGATGCAGAGAAACCGAAGCCAACGGCAGAGTTACCGACGCAGCCCCCACCATTCTTCTTCCCAATGCCGCAACAAACAGCAGCAAGCACGGAGCTGGAATCGGTTAAGTCTGTTTTGAAAGAGAGTGAGAAGGTTCTTGAGAAGGTGGAGAGACAAGAAAAGAACATTGTCCATGAAGTGACTGAGAGAGCCAAGGATCTGAGGGAGAAAGAGTTTAAGATCCCTGAACCGAGACCAATGCCTTGCTCTTCGGATCACGAAGCGTGGAAGAGATGCTACAAGGAGAACGTCGACAACCCGTTGAGATGTTATGGTCTGGTCATGAGATTTCAGGATTGTGCTCGCAGGTCCAAACAGCAAGTGAATTCTGAGGAAATCTAGAGATGAAAAAAAATTTTATTTTTTTTGCTTTCTGAGATCTTATGAATGATCTGAAGATATGAACTTGTTCCTTTTTGTTACTAAAATAAAAAAGAAAGAACATACTAGCTAAATCTTTGATTATATTCATGAGATCTAAACTGTGTTCTTGATTTTGTATTTTGGCTTATCTTCCACTTGTTATCTTGAATTCTTTACATGTCAGTTTTCTATTTTTTTGTTAGTTGATTGAATTCAGTGGGAATGATTATAAGTATCTTCCCTTTGGGTCTGGTCGGAATATCTTTACGCAGCGATTAACATGGCATTGAGGATGGTTTCATACAGTTGCTGCTCACCGTTATTTTGGCCAATTGATCTTCCAATATGCTAGGTAATGCAAAGTTGAGAATGCACAACAATTGAAATAGGTAGTCCGTTTTGGTATCAGAGCTTGTTCCCATGTTCGGATCTTTCCATTTTTGGACCCATTTCTTGGGTAAAGTAGCTCCACTTCTGCATTCGTTTGAGTGGGAAGCTCGAAAAGGAGAGAGATTTGGAGTTGAAGAGACGCTTGGGCTTGTTCTTAAGTTGAAGAAACCACTTCAAGCTATTGCTATCCCAACTCCCACGGTTGTTCGAACCAAATCTATATTTCTTTACACCAAACCTCATTGCGTAACTGGTCGGTTCGGGCTAAGTTTTGGTTTTTTTTGTCCTGTTTAGTTTTATTTCATGTATGGATTTTGTTGCTATAATAGCATCTCCAAAAGAAACTCTATAATAGAGTTTTTTGTTCTTTAAAAAAAAACTTAAAATTTGAAATTTTGAAGATTGAAACTCAAAACTCTAAATTTGAAATTTCACTTTAATTGCATTTTGGTTTTTACTGTTACAACTACAAATAAAATTTATAATTTATAAATATTTTATTTTTTTCCTTCAAATTTTTATATCTCATAAATATTTCAAATTAACTTCTACTTTTTATAAATGTAAGTTTTAGACATAAAACTAAACTAAATTTTCAGAATAAATTTAAAATACTTGCTTGTAGTTTAGTAATTTTTTTTTAAAAAAAACTAAAATTAGACAACAAGAATGTGATATTACGCTTGTAGTTAATATTTAATTATGTAATTCTATTTATAATTTTAAATTATATGTAAAATTTTACTAATTAATATTTTTATATAATTTATATATTTTTGTTTGTTATTTATAAATATTATATGAATTTTTATTAACTATGACAAATATAAGGACTAAATTCTATATTGACCCACTCACTACTATCTTCATTCTATTTTAACAAATCATAAATTTGATTTTTTTTTTCTCAAAGTCTAAATATAGTTAAAAAATCAATAACCCTTAATGAATCAGTATTATGTGCAATATGAATTACTAGAAACTACCTTGAATTACTTTGAATTACTAGAAACTACCTTAAATTACTAGAAACTACCTTAAATTACTAGAAACTACTATGAACAAAAAACAAACTACCTTGAATTACTAGAAACTACTATGAACAAAAAAAAAAGTGGGGCAGTGAGAAAAATGGTGGGGTAGTTAGAATAGTTATTTTCCAAGTGGGGTATATTAGAATACTTTCCCAAATATAAGAACCATAATATAAAATATAAATAATTTTGAAGTTAAATTTGAAGTTTTGTTTTTGGAAAAGAACACCTTGAAACTTTAAATATAAAAATTTGGAAACTTCACAATAGAGAGTTTTTTTTTGGAGAGGCTCTATAGGTATCTCCAACCCAACTTCTTTTTTTACTCTAAAATTGAGTAAAAGAGAATATAGAATAGAAAACACTCTAACCCTACTATATTTCATACTTCATAATAGAGTTTACTCTATAAATGAATCAATATATATTTTGTTTTTCATCATTCTATTATTTTTTGGAGTGGGGTTGGAATATTTTTACTCCATACTCCCTATGTTTCAATAAGATGCATGTTTTAGTATTTTTCGCACATATTAAGAAAATTATGAATTTTAAACTATCAATGTATTATTTTTTGTAATGTATTGTTCCTCATAACTTTTAACCAATAAGATTTTAATAAATGTTTGAAGTTTGCAGTTTAACATTAAATGATGTAGTGAAAATATGAAATATGTATCTTTTTAATATAAATTATTTTCTGATTATATTGAAATGGAGGGAGTATTTTCTTTTACTCCATTTAAAAAGGTAGAATTTTATATTGAAAATACTCTTTTGGAAGATTTCTTTTTGATTAATTTAAGAATATCTCAAGTCTACGGAAAGGTGTAAATTAATTTCTAACTAGACCAAACTCTGTTTAATGGGCCTTTCAATGTTGTAAACAGGCTTAGTTTTCGATCTTCTAGATTAGACACGTGTCAGCCTCACAATCATTTGAGAATAAATGCATTCACACATTAATTTTTTAAATTCATTATTTAATGGGTTTATACATTATTTTTTTAATTCATTCATTTTTCTTACATTTTTAACTTTTGTATTAATAAATTAAAATTTTCTACGTGAAACTAATGAATAACTTTAGTTTAATCAAATATTAACATTTTTATAAAATTTTCATATCAGACCAAGAATTAGAAACAAAACCAAATTGGTAGAAAAAAAAATCAGACATCAGAAAAACTTTAAAAAGAAATAAAAATCACAAAATTGATTAAAAACAGAATTTAGGTACCAAGTGAAGATGTCACTTTGTAATATATATTATTTTTATTGTTTATGAATACAATTTGATTTTCTTCATATGAAAAAATGTTATTAATTCTAGGTTTGTTTTATTTTTACTTAATTTTGTTTAAGAATTTACTATCATGTGTTATTTTGAACAAAAATATTTTAAATCTTAATTAACGGTATATTCATATATTTATCATCACATTTATATACTTTTACATATACATACATGTACACGTTGACATAAGCGACTATATAACTAATTATTCACCACAAGTGAGAATTTTAATTCTTATTGAAGTTGAATTTTTTTTAATGTTTTCTTTCACTATCGCTCAAATTGTAGTGAAATATTTTATATTAATAATTTTTTTTTCTTTTTTTAAATATTATTTAGATTTTATTTGATTTTACCTATCTTTAGAATTATAATAGGAAACTATTAGTTCGACATCAAAAATGTCTAAAATTTATATAAAACGAAATCAAACAAAAAACAATAGTTTTTGGTTATCATCGAAAAAATCAAAAACATCAAACATTTAAACCAAACAAACCAAACTAAATATAGATTTAGAATGATAGTTATATTTTAGGAGATTAAAAAAACAACGTAAAACTGAACCAATATTCATGCTAAACAGACATAATATCATTTTTATCTTAAAAGTAACAAAAGTAATAATCTCATTCCACGCAAGGAGCGTGTTATTACCTAGTTGTTTGTATAGTACCATCAATACTATTAAAAAAGAAGAATCCTAAAAAATCTACTTATACAAGTTGTTTCGACACTTTCATTAGACTAACATTTTTTGGTATTTCCTTATATTTCTCTAACTATATAAATACTATTTCTCTAACTATATAAATACTTTATATTTTAAATGTACTTATTTATTATTATTTTTTTTGACATCAACAATCAGACTCAAATAGACTCTGCAAACTAAACTGGTAGCTCTGTATCCATGTGAACAAAACTCATTTATTACTTTCCATAATCTATTATATTACTCTAACAATAAATCTCTATATACTTTAATACATTTAATATTTTTACATAAATTGGAAGTTAAAAAGCTTTGGTGTCTAATATTCAACTATGAAACTATTCAATATTTTGAATAGAAAATATTCGGCTAATTTATTTTTTTTCCTAATTTGGATTTTAAATAATATTTTAGGATATTTAGTATTTAAATATTATATAAAATATTTGTAGGTATATAATTTATATTTACAAAATTTAAATACCCATTTGGTTCGCGGTTCAGTTTCTGTTTTTTGGTTCCAGAAATATATGATATGATCGATTATTTATGAAATTTAGTTTAATTTTTTGTTTTGTTTTTTTCAGTTTGGTACGTTTCGGTTCACCTGGAAAATGTATAATATATATATATTATCTTATATAAAAATTCATATAGAAGAATTTGTTTTATTTCAAAAATAAACTCGCGTTTTTTAAGCGCGGGTCAAAATCTAGTTAGATTATTAAATCCTGTTTTAGTGGAGCAAGTAATATTTTAACAATTACATAATGATCAACATATATAAACTGTTATTATTTTAATAATAATTGAATTAAAGACCCATTTTGTATATAATGGCACCCCACTGCTAGGAGTTTAAATGAGTTATGAAAAACATTCATAAACATCTATCTACAATTTTATTCATGAATAAAATTGCAGAGAAATGTTTATGAGAGTTTTTCTTTGTATATATTTTGGATTATTTGTGGAATTGACGGAATGAGTATCCCATTTCATTTATGTAAAATGATAAAAAAAATATGGAATTAATGAAATAAGTCACTCTACTGTATCATTCCAAAATTCAACAATCCAGTTCCAGCCATAGTATTTTGGGATTTTTGAACAATGATTCAAAATAAAAAGGCAAATGTAAAACTAATTAATGATTTTTTTTTGGAATTTTCATTTGTCCTATTCATCCCAGAAGTTCAGATTATTCACGAAAATACCATTATACTTTTTTCGAAAATGAGTGTTTTACTCTATTTATCCTCATTTTTATTAAATATTTACAATATTACCATTGCCATCAATATACCAATTACCAGGAACAACCAATTTGAGTTATTAATCACCCATAAATCGGTTTTTACTCATCCTATCTCATTTATTATGCACACAAAGTACATCTTTTTTACTCTCTCTATATTCATCCAAAAACTCCATGATTTTGATTATAAACTTTGTAAGGTTCATAGATCCATTTAAACTCATAATTTTTGGTCATTAAACAGCGGGTAGCTTTCGTGGTGAAGTTATGTGTGGTTGAAGAAACTAAGCAAATTATCTCACTAGTTCAAGGTATTAAATCGATTTTTTTTCTAGATCGGTTTGCGAGAAGATTTTCATGTAAGTTTCTACGACAAGAAGACTTCCACCGAAGTTTTCTGGTCAAAACATAGGTTAGTTTTGCAATTGACTTTGGGAGAATTTCAATTATACCACTTTGGTGGTACCACTTTTCATATTTA